ATAATATTTTATATAATTTTTAGATTTATAGCTTATTTATTTAGCTCAATATAAAATTTCAAAAAGTGTCTATAATATCATAGTACCCTACTGTACTAAGATTTATCTTAGAAAAAGATAGCATATTGCAAATCATTCTTGTCACCGTATAGCAATTCAACTTCTAAGAAATAATAGGCTTCTAAATTGGATTTTTAGGCCTTTTTTGGCCATCATTTCCATAAAAGCTTAGCTGATTATTGTTAGCTTGGTGAAAATCAGCAATTAATAATACTGCAATACTGATTTCTTTTTCATTACATGAATCAAATTTAGATGAGTATGATGATTATGAAGGTATACATTAATGCTATTTTTGTTAGTTTAAACAATTTAAAAAATTTTATTTTTATTAAATTTTTTTTCATTATATATATTTTGACAAGGCTCAACTATAATTAAAGAACATCAAGAAGGTATATATAGTTAAGTAATTCTTTTACTTATTCAAAAACTTTATTTTAATAAGATTTTTTTTTATATATTTACACCTAAAGATTTAGCTAAAATGAATCTGAAAGTAATTAAAAACCCAAAATTAGCTGAAGAAGGCCTAAAAGTAGTTAAAAATCATCAAGAAGGTATGCATTATTAATTATGCATTTTTTTGGTTGAGATAATTCAAAAAAATTTTTTAATTAAAGTTTTTTTGTATTTTAATAGTGAAATCAAAAATCTCTTGACAAAAAAAATGCATTGGTAATAGCCCCTTTTAAACCACCTGTCAAACCTTATTTTTCACTTTCAATTTATGTTTAAGAAAAAAAAAAGATTCTCTGATATCAGTAATAACATTATTATTAAACTTCCTACAAGTACTTCACTACAGACTTACAATTTGAACATTAATTTAAAACTTTTATAGATTTATTTGACTTTAATGTAGTAACTGTTCAAATTTGTTTAAATTAGGCTAAAATTTGCTTACTGTATTTTTATATACAATGTAATTGAAATTTGAATATTGTGTATATATAAAGTGTTCAAAATTTGTATATCAAGTATATATGAAGTTTTCAAAATTTGTGTATCTAGTAATTTGAAAATGATCAATAATCTATATGAAAAGTTTTGGTGCATACATAAGACATGCACAATAAATATTTGATATTGATAAATTTAGCTATAAGATTACATAGTGATAAATGCCATACAAGAAACACAAACTTTTTAATAATTCTACAAATAACCAATCAAAATTGATAAAATGTACAAACTCTGAATTAGATTATATAGATAGATATAGATATATATTTATAGGGGCATGTCTAAAAGGCATGCTCCCAGAAGCCTGCTTCAAAAATTTTTATGCTCTAACTCTAGCTCTAGTATATATATTTGTTTATTTATTTGTTTATACATTTTAGCTTTTTTGTTTGTTTACTTGTTGTTTATGTGTTTGTTATATTACACTAAATAATCTGCAATACAGAGTCTCTAGTGTTTTCTCAAAAAACTTTTTGTTTGTTTGCAAAAATTTGTTTAAGTATTTTTTGCTACTTATTTAACAAAGAAAACCTTTCTATATAACTACTGCTATTTTGTAATGTTTTTTCTTTTTCTTTATAGTTCTTTTAAAAACTTTTTATTACAGTTCCTCTAGAACTTTGTGTTTTGTTTTTGGCTGTTTTGAAAAATGGTAAAATTTTAATTTAGTATAGTATAGTCAAACCTCCCTATAGTCACCAAGTTAGTTGTGCCTTATTGTGATGTTTGTATAGAGGTGTAACTATAAATAAAATATCTTTTATAGTCACATGTCTATAGGTCAATAAGTGTTTAATATAATATGTAGTTGTAATATATTGAAATACTATTAAAAAATTTAAAATGTTTAATAGTAAATAACTTTTGATTCAGTGTCCAATTTGGATAAAATGGATACCAGAGTAATTGTCCCAATAAGGCAATTTTAATGAGTCCTAGTCTACTCAAAATCAAGATCATCACTAAGGATTTTTCACTTAGATATTTAAATTTAATCAATTGTTATGCACATGAAGTGACACAAATCCTTAATGATCTCAGAACCTTGTAATTGAATTTTGACAATTTTGGACTCATTACAATTAGTCACATTGAGATAAACATTTTAATAGTTGTTTGATCCAAATCAGACTATTGAATTAAAAATTTTTTTGCTATCAAACTTTTAGAAAGTTTTAAATATAAATATTGGCTAATCAGATTTTATAATCTGAATTAAGTTAAAAATTGGTAACTATAATGAGGGTTTATTATTAATAAAATTGCTAAAAAATCTAATTTTTATGGTAATAGTGATTATAAGTAATTTGTGACTATAATGAGGTTTTTTACTATATTTTAAGTCTGTTGCACAATATTGGGTGCCTAAATAGAGGTGTGACTATATGAGGTGTGACTATAGAGAGGTCAGACTGTATATATAATTTAGTTTTATTATATATGGAAAAATTTATCAAATACAAATAATAATTAAATTGTAGAATATTTAAATAATGAAGATAAATTAAATAAATTTAGTATTAGAGGTGTGGCGACTTAGTGTAGTGGTCTAGTTGTCACCCTCTCCAAGTAGCAGATATAGAGTTTGAATCCCACTGGCAATGATATTTGAAAAATAGGCTTGCTTAAGATTGACGTGATGCTTATTGGTTGGATCTTAGAACTAAATCTGTAACCTCAGTTACACCATCTAGTTATTGGAGCAATGATGCAATAAATCTGAGAAACTGGCATAACCGAAAACCCATTTGGGAAGTCCTGAGTTAGGAGGTAGCATGATTTTTAACAGTACTACAGGAGGGCTGAATTCGAACTAGGGCCTGAGATTGGAGAACCGAATGACCAGGTTCTATGGCAAAGAACACACTAGCCAAACCACCAGGTTCTGTTGCATCAGAGAAAAAGATATATACTTCGAAAGTATGTACCAAGGGAAGGGTGTTCTTCAGATACCTAAAGCCTGTGCAGACCAACCCTTCTGGGTTGCCAGCTAGACGTAAGTGAGTGACTAATAAAAAATCTAGGTAAGAAGATGGTCTGAATGTGGATATTGGGGTTGTGTGAACCAAAACAAGGGCAGGTAATTGTAGGCGTTCAATAGTTAGCCCTAACCCCAAGTACATAGGTAAAACTGTGACTAGTAAGTCTAAGTAGCTACATGTGTAGGACATGTACTAGCCTTAGCCGAATATTACCTCAGGAATAAAGTAACCCTAGGTGTCTAACTACAGTTTGGTTTATCAGAGGTTTCACATGTGGAAGTAATAGTTGTATATCAGAATCCCGACATACAAAATCCCAAAACACAAAATTCCAGAACAAAATCTCAATAAACAAAATCCTGATAAATTAAAATTCTAAAGCTATTAAAATTAGAATTTTAATTTGTCGAGATTTTGTATATTGGGATTTTGTTACCGGGATTTTGTGTATCAGAATTTTGTGTGTTGGGATTCTGATATACAACTGGAAGTAAGTTACAATCAGAGGGTTTAAATGGGTAACCCCATAGTTTAAGTTGCAAGTACAGCAGATAGTGTAGAACCTTCGGGCAGACTACTTAAATTAGACACCATGTGGCTTGATGTACTCTTATTGTAACAAAAACAATTATCTTTAATAAATACAAATACCAACATGGCCAATGAGGTCACTGTTCAAAATAAAAAAAATAAATAAATTTAGTATTAACCAATCATTTAGTTTGTTTTGATTTACATTAATCAAAACAAAGAAAGCTGTTGGGTTGGAGCTAATTTAGAATTTAGCCAAGGCAATAGCTAAAAGATTCTTTAATCTAAAATTTAAAAAATTTTTTTTGTTATTATAAAAAAAATTAATTTTCACATTGCATCTGACCCTGCAATTTGATTGGTCAAAGTTTCTGATTATAGTTTTGGGGTTTCGGGTTTTGAATTTAGACCTACCTGAAACTGGTTTCAGGTGATTTCTCAGCATAACTATTAAAAAATCATGAAACCAAAAAATCTCTAAGTTCATTTAGGTTAAAGTTAGGGTTAGAGCTAAGATTAGAGTTAAAGAAGCTCTAATAGTAAAATCGCTCAAAGAAAACTTTTTGTTAGAGCACTAAAGGTAGTTTCTTATACTGCTTTTTGAGAAATGAGCAATTTTTGATGAAACGAACGTTTGTTTTGAATTTTCCTGATTATGCTATGTTATACCTAATCTTGAGATCTGATTGGTTTGCAGCACAAAAAATAACATACCTGTGATTTTTTGATAGTTACGCTGGGGTAGTTTTTTGGGTAGGTTTTGTTTCAGGTCCCAACTCTGATTTAGCTAAATTTTTCACTTATATCAGTTTAAATTCCTAGTTAAATCACTAATCAGGGAGACTGAAAATTTCATGTGGCCATTTAATACTCTGCAATTAAAGATAAATTCTTCTTAAATATTATTTTCGAAATGATAAATGATTACATATTGATTAATTTTTTTTAATCACTCTTTTTGTTGGTTAATACTAACGGTTTGCTCTTTTGAATTTTAGCACCTTCAAGTTTTTATAATAAATAGATTTGTGTGAATGGTTAAATAAAATTTCGAATATTATTGTAAAAATTTACTATACTATCACAGGTCGAAAGATAAAAAATCAGGCACCCAATTTTAAACTGATTACTACCTGATTTATGCATATTTTTGTACCAAATTTTTGGTACAAAAATATGCATAAAT